ATCAATTTGCAATTCCAGGAGGAAACAAGGAAAAGAGATGGAGTAGGCTGGGAGAGTTAGGCTACAGTGCAAGAAGGGGAGAAGGACACTCCACCCGAGTCTTGAGTTAAGCATTGTCCCTATATTCATTCTTTACCATACCCCTTCTCTTTTCTTCTCTCTGGGTTGTAATAGCTTTCCTGATGGTGAGGTTACAAGGACTCGAGTTCACGTAGAAAAGTTAGGGAGGGAAATTCAGACTGGAGCTGACATGCTTGGGGCAAATAATTCTGACCACAATTGTGGTCTACCAGTCCATTTGGTGAGTGGTAATGAGTTTCATTGGCATTTCTCAGGGAGTGCACTTGTGGGGACCCAATGGGAATGGAATGAATGTCAATAATGGGTGTTGGATTTAGTGATGACATAGCTGTCATTCTGAAGGTGGCATGATGTATATATTATGATTTGGCCCTCCTGCCCCATTCTATCTGCAAACAATACTCTTATTTGATTCTTTTTATCTATGTTCAGCTTGCTAATGTTCCATTTATTCAATCTGTGTAACATGTTTCACAGGTTTCTAACTTGATATCTATATTTAACACTTCTTATGAGCCTCATCCATCCTACTTGTTTTTCTTGTTCTCTCTAGCAGAACTGACTATTCTCAAGTAACACAGCAAACCCACACTATAGTGGCTGAATATGGAAGTACAATATTCACTATAGGGTCCCATTACTTGGTTTTCTTTTTTTTTCCACTTAGAAAGTAATTTATTATAAAATTACAGATTTTTTAGCATAATTTCAGATAGGGATTTGTTTATATGTTTAATATATACACATTCATTTCACTTTTATTAATATTGATTTTTGTAAATAAAATACTCTCTATCTATCTATCTATCTATATATACATTTTTTTTAGAAATTTCATTTTATGGTTCTTTTTTTTTCGTGTCAACATACTTTATATACAGAGATATGAAAAATTGTACTGTATATGTGTAATAAGAATTATAATGCATTCTGCTGTCATTTATTTTTTTTTAAAAAATCAATAAAAGGAAATATTAGTTTTCATCATGATTTTGTGTGTGTTTTAATTATTTATTTATTTATTTTTTTAGTCATACATGATAGTCGAATGCATTTTGATATATAATACATACATGGAATGTACATACATCAATCATATTGTCTATTCTATTCTGCTGCCCTTCCTATCCTCCCTACTCCTCCCCTCCTCTCCCATTACTTGGTTTTCATTGGTTGCTCTTTTAACTCCAGGAAAAAAAAAATCAGGCTTCTGTAAAGTAGGTGACATGTCACTATTTTCAGCAATTGAAAAGTTAATATTTTATGCTAATGTGGAAAATCACCAAAGGAGAAAAATCTGCAAAATCTGTGTTTTATGGATGGAAAATACCCTTAGTACCTTCTTTTGATACATGGCTAGGAGCAGGGTAAAGTGATTAACAGAAATGAAATATTGAGGCTAGGAAAGAACTTGGAGATCACAGAGTTTAATCTTGATTTTTAGATGTTGAGTGTAGTGTTCAGAGGGGTAGAGTGTCTTTATCTGAGGTACACGGCTAGTTACTTAAAAATCTCTGAGTAGTCTCAGTCCCTGGAAACCTGATTCATTGTTCTTGCCTCTATATTCTAAGAAGACATGGCGTTGCTTTCTTGTGTTCTTTTATCTGCTGAATTATGATAAACATTTATTTGAAAGGGCTTTTCTGAAAATGAGAACGCTCATAAAGTCTCCATGTATCAAAATAGATATTTCTTACATTTCACTCTGTTGAGTGCTAATGGGCTCTCTTTACTTCAAGGTGCCAATCATTTATAAAAAGAAATGAGAAAAGTCAGCATAAGAAATGTTCAGCTTTCAAGGAGGATGGGTGAGCGGAAGTGTGGTAGGACTGGTTCAGACTGTTGGGGGATGAGTAGAGGGGAGCAAATTGGCATCAAATATCATCTTCTTTAATTTGATAGCCACTGACATTTGAGAAGGACTCATATATTCCTAGTTTTCAAAAAGATACCATGCCTACTATTTTCTTATTTATATTATTACTTTATATTATTTATTTTATATTATTACATTTATATTATTACTTTAAATAATCACATATTATAACATATGTGATTATTTAAAGTAATAATATAAATGAGAAAAATAAATGAGAAAGAAGCCTGGGACAAGATTGTGATAAATAATGTAAGGAAATAACAAACTGATCATAATCCATACATTATGACAAGTTATATGGAGAAAATAACCAGAGTGGTGTGTTAGAGGGCCATTGGTGGACAGCCTGCTTTAGAAAGAGTGACAGGGAGGTTGCATTTGTAGCTTGTGCTAAAGGAGAAGGAGCCAGGCATGTGGAGAGGTGGCAGAAGATGACTCTGGGGAGAGGGCAGGGTCCAAAGATCTGAGACAGGAGTGGGTGGGGTGTGCTCCCAGCAAACAAGGAGGAGAGTGTGAGATGGAGAGGGAGGGGCAGGCAAGAATCAGTATGTGTGTGCCTTTGCAGATCATGCTAACAGGGCTGGATTTTATCCTATAAGCAGTGGGAAGCCATTGGAGAATTTTAAACAGGAAGGTGAAATGATTCAGACTTTTGCTTTAAAGGGAGCACTTTGGCTACTGGGTGGAAAAATGGGGGGAAGAAGGCTGCATGAAAGCAGGGAGACTAATTAGGACACCATTAGACTGTTCTAGAGTGCAAGGACAGGGGCTTGGGCAAGAGCTATAAGAATGAAATTAGGAAGAAGTGGACAGATTCCAGACATGGGAGCCCTCTTGATTCACTCTTGGGTTGGACATAGAGGGAGAAGAAATGGAAAGAATCAAGGACAAATTCTAATTATTTTGACTTGTGGAACTGAGCATTACCACCTACTAAGACTGGGAACTTTAGGATCTAAAGATAGAGGATTGGGGAAGAGAAAAGGAGTTCTGATGTACACACCTACAATTTGAAATGCTTATTAGGTAGTCACATAAAATTTGAACTTCTGACTAGGTATTCTCATGGCAATATCAAGTTGGAAGTTAAATACATGGGTCTTTTGCTTAAGGGAAAGTTTAGGGTTGAGGAAATTTGAAGGCCTTTGGTCATGGGGCTAGATATTGCCCAAGGAGAATTGAATGAGAAGTGAGGACACCTGTACTCAATATGATATTCATACCCCTTTCCTCCAGCAGGCATTGTTGATTAATCATGGCCTTCTCTTCATTGGGCTCATTCCTCACTGATGAGTACAAAAGGAAAAAGTCAACATAATCTCAAAAGTCCAATTTATTTTTCTAGCATTAAATTCTAGGTGGAATTTATCGGGAGCATTTTGCCCAGAAGTAATGATAATAAAAATAATGTTAATAAAAGTTGCTAATATTCTCTAGTTTGCAATATGATTTGTTTATATACTTAATTAGTTGTAAATGCCAACTGGAAAGTTTTCACCTGGGATTTTGTAGAAGGCACAGAAGCACTCCTTAAGTGGCTAGCTCTTATCTCAACCCTTGACAAAAGCCAGCAATGTGCCCTTTACAGTAGAATATCAAAGGCTTTTCTTCAGGCAGAAAAACAAATGTCATGCTGGTGGACTTGTGCGATGGAGAGGTCTGTCTGGCTCAGGTGCCTCTGTGGTACAGGACCACCGCCCCCCCCGCCCCACTTTTTTTTTTTAAAACAATCTTCAGCCTAGGCATTTGCAGGTAGAAAAGGCTGTGGTGTTCTTTCTGTGTCATGTATGCTGAGCAGTAATTCATAGAACTACAGGTTGAGATAGGAAGCTCTGAGAGATCCCCTAGGTACCCCCTCTATTTGCAGATGAGATAACTGGGCCTCAAGACCAAGAATTGAAAGATTATTATTTCTTTCTTTCTTTCTTTTTTTGAGAAGCCAGTATTTAGGCTGAGATTCTTCAGCGTTGTTGTAAAAGTTTGCCATGTGGTGTAGTCTTTGCCGTTCTCTGTTTTTCAAAGACTCCTCATGTGGCCCTGGAGAAATAACTAAGTAGTTGTCATACATTGAGAGGAGGTGTTCAGGTTGTGAGAGGAGACCACTGAATACACCTCTGATATCCCTTTATCGTCCTTTGAGTAGTCTCCTCTAACTTTGCTCCCTTGGTGCCCCTTTCTGATGCCGGGAAATGTACGTATGGTGAAATAATGAGATAACACCCAGTTTGTCACGGCCAGGGTGAGTCTGAGTATGGAGTGATGGATGCCTGTCATTATGCTGATGTTGGAGAAGGAGGGATTCCTGTCTAGGAGCAGGATTAGCTGGACTCTCACACATCCAGTCCTGCTGAATTGGATTCAACTTTAATAAATATTTCATGAGGAAAGCAATCCATTGCATATTTGCAGATAAATTCAGGCACACTTATGAGCATGTTTCGTGTTTATTCTTTAAGCAAAGGCAGAGTCATTTGCCATTATTAGTGCTAGTAAATCTGTGCTAGGCACAAGGCAAGGGCAGGTTTCTTAAATGCATTATGAGGAGAAGGAAAACAAGCCTATGGGAAAAATGAGATTGGAGGCATGCTGAGTGGCATTTGGGTTCTGCTGGATCCAAGATTCTCTGAATTTAGGACTCCGTTTATTTGTCTGCCTCTCACCTTATTTACAGCAACTTCATCTGTTTGCAGCAGGCTGAATTGCTCAGTGTCCTGTCAAAATCCATGTCAGAAAATCACTGTCTGGCCAGTTGTGAACTTGTCAAAGTGACAAGTGGGCATGGTGACAGAGATAGCATTTCTGGGTTTTTCATTGAACGAATGTGGCCGTATGGAGTGGTGAATGGCACCTAAAAATGGAAACTATTGACAAGAGGAGAAAATGAAAAATGTGATCTGGATACTTGAACATGGCATTTTTAACTGTGATCTTTTTTTTTTCTCTTCTTTCTCTTGTTCCCTCTCCTCTTTATTTCGTCTCTACCCTTCTCCTCCTTGGTCTTCTCCTTTTTCTCCTCCCGTTCTTCCTTCCTGACTCTTAGATACAGAGAGAGAGATCCATGCAGCCCCTCATGTGAGTGAGAAATTAATTCAGTTGTTCCGGAATAAGAGTGAATTTACCTTTTTGGCCACCGTACAGCAAAAGCCGTCAACTTCAGGAGTGATACTGTCCATTCGAGAACTGGAACACAGGTAAGAAATCTCCACTTTTGAAAATCTACTCAGAGTTCATGGGCTATGCAAGATGCCTTGGAGTTTAGGGGTGGGAGCTCCTTGGAAACATTCGGCTAGCTGAGGAATGATTTCTGCTGAACACATTAATGAATCTACTTTGCATTAATAATTTACTTTGGGCAAAGTGTTTCCCTTATTTGCTCTCCAAGGATCACTAATGAGTGTCTTTCTCTCCTGCCTTTAAAAGGTTGACTTTATTCATGGAAAACCGCATTCTATCCACCATACTTAAGTCATCAAGCAAATTAATTAGTTATGTTTAATAGCCTTCAATAAGAATTTCTTGTGTGGGAGGTGAACAGTTCAAAAGTGTTATTCTAAGGGTCACATAAGCAAGTAGGGAATGTGGACAAATAAATATCACAAAGCACTGTGATGGAATGCTAGCAGTTAGAGTTCAGGGAAGAAAGGGAGAGGGCTCAATCCTGTTGAGGATTGGGATATCCAGGAAAGGCTTCCTAAAGGACCTGTGGTTGTATAAGGAAAAAAGCCAAGTGTTTTCTGATAGGGGAATGGGAATGAAGGGGTGGGAACAACATTATAGAAAGAGGTTTCCAAGATTTTAAGAAGGATAATGCAAGTGTGGGTACATGGTTGGAATATAAAAGTGTGTGGGGGGAAGAGATGAGATTTGTGGGTGGGCAGTGAGGGGTGGTATTACAGAGGTAGGTAGAAGCCAGATCATTGGAGAGCCTCAGTGCCAAGTGGAAAAACTTGGACTAAGGTCCCCATAGGTTTGACGTTTAAGAAAACTGCTCTATTATGAGGTTCAACCCTTTTCATAAAGGGTTCTAAGTTTCTAACCATTCAATGGCTTGACCACCTTAAAGCTAAAGAATAAAAAGGAGTTAATAATAAAGAAATAATAGAGTGGCATCTAATTTCAAAATTATGTCAAGGTGTTGAGTTCACTGAATTCACTGGTTGGTGAAGACCACATAGAGAGAGGACTTGAAGGACAGGCAGAATTCTGGCAGGAAAGGGAACAAGGGTATATAGCGCTGGTGTGTCGTCACAGAGGTGAGGAAATGTAAGGAAATGCACTTTTTTAGGAGGGACACAATGAATGGACCTGTTTGACTAGAACCGAAGGTGTTTCCTTATACTCTTTCAACATTTGTAAGGATCAACAGTTCTGTTTTTAATGGTTAAGTTTGCTCTCAGCTTCAAGGGGTTATGAGGCACCCTGATCCTTTTTTTTTTTTTGGCCGGGGAGTGGGTGTTAGCATTAGGAACTGGCTGATTTTGAGTGAAATCAGCGTGATGTATGTACATGTCTCTGAGAGATACAGGTTAGTTCAAAGGTATTCTGAGTGCCCGGGTTTGGTGTTAAGCCAAGTCTCAGCTTCACAATCATGGAAAGGCTGTCTTTCCCCACTGGCCTTGTGGGCTTGGGTGTGAGTGGAGGACCATACAGTCCAAGACCAGAATGCATACCTTCATACACAGAGGTGGGCTCCTCAAAGTAGATGAGAAACATGTGGAATGAATGTTTTTTAGTAGAAAGAGTGTGGCACTGGCTAGAGTTCTAGTTCTAGTTGGGTGACATCAGCTATTTAGTATTTTGGGACTTCAATTTCTGTGTCAAAAATGTAGGCAATAATTTATTTTGCAGAATTGCTATGAGGATAAAAGACAATGCATATTGACCTGCTATTTCTTGACAAATATACATTTCTCCTTGCTTTTTGTCTTCAGACATATTTGTTGGATTTCTCTTTTGTAATTACAAAAATCTTACTTTAGAAAAGGTTTTTAAAAAAATCAGTACTGCCACACAGAGTTAAGATTAGCTTCTTTTATATCCCTAGCTGATTTCTAATAGAACCCAAGGATCATTGAATGGAGAGTCATCTGATAATTTTTCATTATAATAGGAAGACTTCAGATATTGACTAATAAATAAAATATGAAGAAATAGAAATAGATCATCTTCTCTGGATTTTATTGTGCTCTCTTCCATATTTGTTTAGTCTAATCAAGGCAAAGTATAAATGATTGTGAGTTTGTAATGCAGTGGCTATGGGTAGCAGAGAAAACCTGATTTCCACCTTCAGGAAGATTAAATTCTAGTTAAGAAGACCTGGGATGCAATAAAATTGAAGGGGAATATACAATGGTATATATTTAGGAATTCAACTATTTATAGTAACCTCCCAGAAGTTTCCCATCTGTAATGAATGAGAATATTTCATTGTTCTCAGGATCTTTCTTATTTATCAAAGAAATAATGTCTGCAGGAGCAAGTTGTCCTGCAAATGTTTGGCATTCACATTTGATCATGTGTAAAATCTGGTGACCAAGGATTTTCTTTAGTCAGGAGCAGAGGCTGTAGGTAACTCGTGGTTAGATTGTTGGCTGGAAGGTCAGAGACCTTCTTTTTGTGATTCCCTCCTGTGTGATCCTGATTGTATCACTTTTGATCAGAATTAAATATATTTGCCCTATTATGATATCATGGGCATTATTGCATTCCTAACTGAGTTTTGTTTTTATCAGTCAGTGGTTTTTAGGATATTCACAAAGTTGTGCATTCATCACTATAACCAATTCTAGAAATTTTTATTATTCCAAAAAGAAATTCCATATCCCTCAGCTGTCCCTCTCAGTCTCCCCATAAACCTTTGAAGCTTAGGTAACTACTAATCTAGTTACTGTCTCTATAGATTTGTCTGTTTTGTTCATTTCATATAAATAAATTCATATTCTTAGTGGTCCTTTTGTGACGGGCTACATTTACAGTATTTTCAAGGTTCATTCATCTTGTATGTCTGTAGTTCATTTCTTTTGCAGAATAATTTTGCCTTGCTTGGATACAACATATTTTGTTTATCCATTCATCTGTTGTTGGACATTTGAATTGTTCCCACTTTTTAGCTATTATGAATAATGCTGCTATGAACACTCATAAAAGTTTATAATTTTTTAAATTGATGCATATTGTACAGAATAGTGAGATTCATGTACAAGTTTTTGTGTGGACATAATGTTTTCATTCTCTTGGGTATGTAGCTAGGAGTGGAATTGCTGGATCAAGTGTAAATTCTGTTTATTTGTAGAACTGCTAGAGTGCTTTCCAAAATGACTTTTTTTTTTTTTAGTGTATTGCTCAGGATGTTTACAGAGAAGATCATGTTGTTTGCAAATAGAGACTGTTTTATTTCTTTCTGTTCTACCTGGATGTCCTTTATTTCATTTTCTTGCCTAAGTGCCCTGCCTGGAACTTATGGTACAATGTTGAATAGAAGTTGTGAGAGGAGACATTGTTGTATTGCTCCTGATATTTGGGGAAAAGCTATCAGTTTTGACCATGAACTGTGCTATCTGTGGGTTTCCAAAGATGCTCTTAACCAGGTTGAAGGAATTATTTTCTTTTTGTAGATTTAAAAAAAATCAGATGGAGGATGTTTTTATTATTTAGTGTTTTTATTATGAAGGGTGTTGAATTTCTTCCACATTCCATTTCTGTATCTATTGAGAAGATCTTGTAGTTTTTATTTTTTATTCTGTTGATGTTATATATGAATTGGTTTTTGAATGTTATACCAAGTTTGCATTCCTGGGATAAATAACACTTGACTATATTGTGTAATCCATTTTTTTATATTAGTGGATTTGATTTAATAGTACACTGTTGAAGATTTTTGTATCTATGTTCCTAAGAGGGATGTTGGTCTGTAGTTTTCTTTTGATATTTTCATTCTGGTTCTAATAATGAGTTTTAGCAGATTTTTTTTAACTATGTGGAGTTTGTTTGAAAGCTAACTTTTGCTCATTGCATGCCGTGTACCAAGCATTCAATTAAAAAAAATATTTAATTGTAGGTGGACACAATACCTTTATTTTATTTGTTTAGTTTTTTAATGTTGTGCTGAGGATCGAACCCAGTGCTTCACATATGCTAGGCAAGCGCTCTATCACTGAGCCGCAACCCTGCCCCCAAGCATTCAATTTTTTATGATCCTGTTTAATTTGTTAGGTATGAAATTTTTGAATTTGAAAACATTGAAAATATTTCTCCAAAATTCTAGTATTTATACCAGTTACTTTTTATTTTATAATATCCACTAGAATCACTGTAACACTGGTAAATAATTAATAAATAGATTAAAGGTCCTCATTAAAGTCAGAAGACAGAAGGCAATCCTTTTTCCTTTATGATTTAATAGGTTATTTTTATGTGTTGATAACAATGTCTAGTAATAAATTCTAATCTATGTATCTAGTCATGATGTAAAGGAAATTTAACTTCATTTCTGATTTACTTGAAAGGCCAAAATATCATGAATACCTATTAAATATCTCTTCAGTGTGCCTTTTGAGATAATTTTGTTTTCACTGTTATCTATTAACCTAATTAATTGTATTAATAGAATCCATAATGTTGAACTATTCTTGAGAATCCTTGAATAAACTTTCAATTAAACTTACTGATGTTTGATTTAGGATTTTAGCCTCATTAAATAATAATAACTAACAATATGAATAAAAATAGTAGTAGTTACTTAAATTATTTTTGAGTTCAGCCATTGTTGTAAACACTTTAAACTCATTAGTGAGTTAAAACATTTAAACTTTTAATAAGTGAAATGAATATATAACTGTACATGTGAGTTAACTCAAACGTTTTAAAACAACCCCCCTCAGTCCCTGGTAACCACTATTCTACTCTCTATGAGATCAACTATTTTAGATTCCACATGCAACTCAGATCATATGATTTGTCTTTTTGTGCCTGGCTTATTTGACTTCACATAATCTCCTTCACATTCACCCATATTGTTGCAAATGATAGAGTATCATTTTTTATGGTGGAAAAATTATCTAATACATGTATGTGTATATGTATAATATATAGATGTATATGTATATGTATCACATTTTTACTATGAACTCATCCTTTGATGGACACTTGAGTTGATTTCCTTATCCTGGCTCTTAGGACTAATGCTGCAGTA